ACAAAGTTAATTATACTAGGAAATGATGTCACTTTTAGAATGGGTGTGATATCCAAGTTGATGTATTTACACACAATTTTATTGCATTACTTTGCACGCATTAAATGTTATATATTTAGAGAAATAATCTCCTAAGCACCGGTGCTTGTTTATGTTAAGCACTAGTGACATGGCACAATATTTAATCGGTGAATCATTAAGTACATGTGACTTAGCATTAACTTATTCATCAATTAAATGGTGTGCCATGTCATTGGTACTTTCAGTACTTAGGAGACCATTTCCGTATATATTTATATATATAGTGAACTGCTTCTTTAATATTTGAAAATCTATTGATAGTTTTAATATTTGCACATTCTTCCTATGAGATATGGTTTGAACTCAAACTGTAATCTGAGTTTGAAAGTTGAACTTTTAGGAAAGTGAGAAATCTCTTTAGTTTAATCCACTAGCATATCATGATCCTAACGATGTATTTGTCCAGCCTTGAATTGGAGTTCTTGAAAAGCTTCTTATGGGATATGAAGAGAAGTTGGCATGAAAAAAATAAACAAAATCAGATCCTTATGGATGGTTGCATTAGCATATGACTACAATTTTGTTACCATTTTGGAGAAATTAGAACCAATTTCGATATCATGGAACCAAACTTACTCGACGAAAATGCTTGTAGGTAATTAAACAAATGTCATTGAAGCACTGAAAATGAATTGGTGTGGAAATGTAGAATTAATTCATGGAGACTGAAATCACTCTTACAAAATTAATACAAAAAAGGGGAAGCTTTTTCAAGAGTGCAATATATTGTCAATTGGACGGCACCAAAAAAACCCTACATCCACTTCTATGAAGAAAAGAGGAAAAACACATATTCACGAAATAATTCTTTCGATTTAAAACTACCACAAGTGTACGGTTCGTACAAGTAATAAAGTGGATTCTAAAAAGTCTGAATATCGTCCCTCAGAGATTGAGTAGTTCAATTCTATATAATCTAGTCTTAACCGAATCTAATTGAGTGAAAATATGGTCTAAATGCAAAAAGCCCTAATTTCAATTAAGAAACCCCAATTTCAACTAAAAACCCTAATTTCTATTGAAAACCCTAATTTCTCAATTAGAAACCCTAATTTCGAAATTTCTCTAATTAAATGACTCACACACTCAAGTAAATGAAATTATGCAAATTCAAAAGCTAATTTATGGAAATTAATCAAACTAAAGTCACTAGGATCACAAATCCCCAATTGAAGTTATAAAAACCCTAATTTCATAAAATTAATGATTCGATGAAAATTTGCCCATTCAATGTTCCTAATTCTATCCAATATACTCTCTCGATATATATTAGACCTATTCTTGCACACCACCAGCCTATATCTCAATGGATGATGCAAACATACAAGAATGCATGTAGTTTTGTGAACAATTTAAGAATTGCATAAAGCATAGGGGTATATCTCTATCCCCTATCGGACCCTATGTTAATTTACACCTTATCGAACCTATTCCACTTCTCTCGAATGTAAGAAATAAGTCATCAACACTCACACAATCATTGGCTACTAATTGCGGAAGAAAATTAATGCATGTAAATCAATCAAATTATCCAAACGAGTCTTTATATTAAATTCATGAAATATAGAATTAAAATAACAAACAATGGTTCATCGATTACCTAGTAATTGAAAACCTAGCCTAGAAGATTCATAATTACAGAAAAAAACGAAATTAATAAATAGAAAGAATAACACCCGTATGAAAGTTCTTGAAATCTGAAATCTTGAGTAAAACCTTGAAAACCCACTTGAATCCTTGTGAAATCGGCTTCAAGTTCGTGTTCCTTGCCTCCAAAAGTTGTATCCTTCTTCTCCCTGGATGTTCTACCCTATTTTTGATGAATTTTGGCTTTTATACCATGTCTTCACGGAGCCCTGAAAGAGTTTCAATTAAAAATGAAAGTTCAGTTTTTTTTTCGAAATTAAGGCCATGCGGCCGCATGGTTCAATTTTTTAGCTCAATTAAAACCTTGCTACACCATGTGCGGCCGCATGGTATAGTTACATGCGGCCGCAAGGTTGTAAAGTTACAACCTTGTCATTTTGGTCCCT